GTGGACTGGTGTGGGTGGCATCCTGGGTGTTAGTGGACTGGTGTGGGTGGCATCCTGGGTGTTAGTGGACTGGTGTGGGTGGCATCCTGGGACAAAACTGACATAATTTGCGGGAAATGCTCAGCATAACAAGCAACTTTCTATATAGTGGTATGTCACTGATGTCAGCTATGATCTGTATACCTTGTACATGTACTGGTATACCTTGTACATGTACTGGTATACCTTGTACATGTACTGGTATACCTTGTACATGTACTGGTGTACCTTGTACATGTACTGGTGTACCTTGTACATGTACTGGTATACCTTGTACATGTAGTGGTATACCTTGTACATGCACTGGTATACCTTGTACATGCACTGGTATACTTTGTACATGTACTGGTATACCTTGTACATGTACTGGTATACCTTGTACATGTACTGTACCTGTATATGTACCTTGTACATGTACTGGTACACCTTGTACATGCACTGGTACACCTTGTACATGCACTGGTACACCTTGTACATGTACTGGTAGTAATATTATGATACAAGGTAATTTAGGAGGGATGTAAGGTGTTGGGATCAGTTCACAGGATTAAATACTGTTATGTACATTGATTTATAGTTATGGAGTTGGATCCGAGTACTTATTAATGGTGTTGGAAGCAGTTAATTATAATCAAGGGGGAAGCACTAAACCCGTAGGATTATACAGCGCCTGGGGGGGGGGGTTGAAGGCATTCAGGCTTAATTCGGGGAACTGGAGCACAGATCCAATTCCTTAAATCAAGAGCCCCTCACCAACATCAAGGAACCTTCCCTGAGGGGTGGAAACAGTTAAGAGGATTCAATACCATGTTCGTTATGCTCATTCATTTATAGTTGCTGTTATGGAGTTGGATCATAGAGTACACTTACTAATGGTGTTGTAAGCAATTAAGAGGATTAAATACTGTTATATTCATTCATTTATAGTCATGGAGTTGGATCATATAGAGTACACTTACTAATGGTGTTGTAAGCAATTAAGAGGATTAAATACTGTTATATTCATTCATTTATAGTCATGGAGTTGGATCATATAGAGTACATTTATTAATGGTATTGTAAGCAGTTAAGAGGATTCAATACCATGTTATTAATGTACAACCATAAAAGATAGTAACTCTGGCACACCAGCGGCTCCTGCAACAAAATTCAAGGTTTAATTACTAACTAAAATGACAATGTCGACTAACTTGTAATGGCGGAGTAATACAAGTTGTCTATCTTGTGGGTGACCAACTTCCAGTGTTTCTCAGTCTTGTTAACCCGTCAACGTTCAACTTCCACCAGAAATATTGGCCAGTTGTGCTGTCAGGAACGTGTGTGTAGTCCCCATCCCCAGGGGTGAGCTCTAGCTCCTGAATCCAAGCGATTTTATGGCTTTTTTTTGGCCACCTCGTGCGACACGTCCTACCCCCGTGACCTCTGACGGGTGACTGACCTGGCTAGCCTGACCACATTCGAATTTGAAAAAATTTCTTTATGATACACCTATTCCTATTTAGGTCCTAAAACTGTTAATTTCTACGTTATTTCCTTTGTGTAACTATGTAAATAAAGAAGCGCTAAACCACAAGGGCCATACAGCGTTGCATAACTAGGTAAAACGTTCATGTTATTTAAGTGGGTTTAATGAGGGTTCTTCGTGCTCGAGGACCATCAACGTTTATTGGAATATTTTGGTAGGCCTAAATAAATTTCTACAGATGTGTTTAAGGACCAGAATGGAAATAAGTGACTTTGGGTTATCCTGTGTTCTTTTAATGTGTATACAAACACTGGCCCATGCGAGGCAGGTCCAAGTCTCCTACCGGCTTAAGCTAATGCCCCTACCTAATCAGGTCACATTCACTGAATATACACGTCAGTTCCCTTATTTTCTATCATGTTAATTTCACCACTATAATCTACCTCTTCCTTAATTATCGCGTTTCCTTAATTCAAGGTATAACTTAATTATCCTCGAATATCCTGGACTATTATTATAATCAAGGGGGAAGCGCTAAACCCGTAGGATTATAGTGCCTGTGGGGGTGGATGGAAGGTATTCAGACTTAATTTGGGGAACTGGAGCACAGATCCAGTTCCCTAGATCAAGAGCCCCTCACCAGCATCAAGGAACCTTCCTTGAGAGGTATCCTGGACTAGACCTTACGAAAACTAAATGCGATAATTAAAAAGATTTCGTTCGGATTTTTGACCCCGGAGGGTTAGCCATCCAGGACAAGCCAAGAAAGTCAGTTCGTCATCAAGGACTTATTTCTATTGTGATCCTCAATCTTTTCCCCCAGGATGCCACCCACACCAGTCCACTAACACCCAGGATGCCACCCACACCAGTCCACTAACACCCAGGATGCCACCCATACCAGTCCACTAACACCCAGGATGCCACCCACACCAGTCCACTAACACCCAGGATGCCACCCACACCAGTCCACTAACACCCAAGATGCCACCCACACCAGCCCACTAACACCCAGGTACCTATTTGCTGCTAGGTGAACAGGAAACACGTCGAAATGTTATGGGCAAAGTAGATTATAGGGGATTATAATTATGAGAAAGCGCTAAACCTATTATAGGTAAAACAGACATTACCTGGAACATTATTATAATCAAGGGGAAAGCGCTAAACCCGTAGGTTTATACAACGCCTGTGGTGGGAGGGGATGGAAGGCATTCAGGGAACTAGGGCACATATCACCTAGATCAAGAGCCCCTCACTAGCGTCAAGGAACCTCCCTTGTGGGGCCAATATCTAGGAACCTTACTGGGGTACCTGTGGGTATAACCTAATTAATCCCTACCCCCCAGGCGCTACATAACCCCTGGGGGTGAGGGGCAGAGGCATGAATATAGTTTATAGGTTACCTCTGTTCCCTGGATCAAGATCCTTCCACAATCAAAGCACCGACTGTTAACATGGGAGAGCGCTAAACCCGTTTAACTACACAGCGCATGTGGTGGTGGGGGGGGATGGAAGGCATTCAGGGAACCTGAGCAGATCCAATTCCTAGATCAAGAGCCCTTCAACAGCATCAAAGAACCTCCCTTAGGGGAACACCGGCTGAATGGGAGTTAATTCATTGATGTCACGTTACCTCATGACATCTAGGGAGTATTGTCATTTTACTAGTTAAAGATTAAAATTTTGCGCATTAAATCTAAGTGATACTAGTACAAAATATTTTAAAGGTTATTTAAACCCTTCACATCTTTCTTGATCTTTTTTATTCAATACAACATGACATCAGGTCCTCAAATTACTAATGGCGTCCTGGTGGTTGGGATGAAGCGGCCGTAGATACTCCCCGGCTTGGCCCCGCCCGCCCGCACGCCACCACTACCAACAATACTAGTACAACCCGCCCACTGCCACCCGCCACCCCCTGGGGGCCACCAGGGACATGTACCACGCTGAGGGCCCAAGCAGGGAGAGGCTGCGGGACAGGAAGAGGCGGGGGCATGACAGGAGGGCCCCGTGGGACACGCCGGGGCCAGGCAAACACCCTACACATGGTGCCAGCAGGCTAGCGCAGAGGATGACATTTGCAACCACCCACCCACATCCTTCGAGTGAGGGCAACCTGGCATCTATAGCCACCACCTCACACTTGGTTAGTGTAGGCAAAAAGGGGGCAGCTGTAGTCACCCGCCCCCACCTGGTTCGTGAGGGCAGATCAGCTGTAGCCACCACCCTGCCCAAACCTACACAAGGACACTAGACAACATGCAGCAGCAATGTTAGAGCAACTAAGCCTGTCGTCTACAGCTGTGGCAGCCAAGGGATTGCTGCAGCTGCGGCGGTGGCACGACGCACACGGCAGCAGCAGTGGGGGGCAGAAATTAAAAATGAAATTGAATAAAAAGTATCGGCAGGCCCAACTTGAGTTATATTTGATAAAACGTTCATACTGGTGCAGGTGGTGGTGGTGGTGGGTGGGTGGGGAGGTGCGGGTCTGCCGGTCGGCACAGCTGTTCCACCAGTCATATCATCCCCCGGACAACACTCAAATACTGCTGCTAATGCAGTGATCGAGCTAGTGGCGCTGCTGGGTAGCGGTGATGATGGCAGGGAAACGCTCCTGCAGCACCGGGTCTCACCAACTGAGGGCTTTGGGTGCGGCAGCGGCGGGGAGAGCAGTTTAAACCCTTGGTGGCAGCAGGTGCTGGAGATCAGTAGGTATGGCAATAGTCTGCCAAGGCAGCAGCAGTTACTACCACCCCTGGCCCAACCTCCCTCCCCATTCCAAAGACTATAAAGTAGTCAAGGTCTCAACTCTCCCTGTCGCTCGCCTGCTCACCTTATGTACCACACTTTAAACAAGACGGGCTGCATGGCGCACGCTCCATACACGTCACGGCGCCATACACCCTCACAAACATAGCAGCGTTAAAGGAATGTTCATCGCGAAGCGGAGTTTAGTCGCATGTCAGAATGTTGGTAGATACACAACAGAACTACCGCTACGCACCACCTATATAAGGTTCCCCCAAATGAATCAAAGCCAGCAGGGTGGGCACCGGGCTTAACCCATCACCCAAAAATCAACATCTGTCCCTGCCCATTCAAAATTAAGTGAGGCTGGAGGCATTAAGGAGTGGGCACTGCTATGGTTACCACCCTGGGCAACACGAACAAAAATTGAGTAGTGTGACTACAAACCTACCGTCAACTGTTGAGACCCAGATAAGCATAAAAATTAAAGTAATCCAACAATGCCACATTTGGCAAGAAATTACAGGGGAAAAAATAAAGTGACATGTTGCAGAATGAGAAACTTTTCAAAGTGTACCATATTTTCCTACACAATAATATAAGCATTAATGAGCAAGGTATATGGTAATTATGATAGTGGTCAAGCTCACTGGCAGCACTGCAGCATCTGCACAGTGGCATCTTAAAATTGTGAAATAATGTGGAGGTGGACAAGGAAAATACAAAATAAATAAAACATATGTGATGTGCCTTACATTAGTATTATGTAGTACAAGAGTAAATTTTCCATCGTTCATTTTTGTTTTTTTGCAATATGTATACATTTGCTATTCCTTTTAAGAAAATTGACAAAGACACGGCTAACAAGAAGTATTGATACTTAAATGTATCCATCTCATTCATCAACAAAAATACAGCACACCCTCTCCGTTCTTATTTACCTGAATAATTGACTTCCAGACAAACAATACAAAATTGTCGCTATTTGCAAACACTCAATAATATAAAAAGAAAGAGGAATAAAAAAAGGGGGGCCCTCAACATGGCCAACACCAACCTCAGGTCAGGCAAGGTCAGATGGGACCAATTCCTCCTTCACAATGCTTCTTGCAGAAGAAAAAAATAAAACTAGTAACTTAAAAATTGATAATTTGTTATGACAGTCTTAAACGATCAACCTAGCTTTCCGTTATCACTTAGAACACTAATAAAATGAGAGAAAGATCTTATAGTCTTGAGAGACGAGTATGGGTGGCAGTCCTTCGAGGTGTTGGGAGATGCACGATATATTACTTCTTACACTTGAGGGGGTAGGGCAGGGAAGGGAGGGGGGGAGAAGAAAAACCTTCGTCACTGATTATTGGATCATTAAAAATATCCATACATTTCTGATCTTCCCAATTGTGTCAATTCAGTATCAAATAATTTTTATTCACAATGGGCACCGTCAAGTACACAGGTTGTTTTCATCCTCGGGTGTCCCAGCAACACTAATTTCTCCAGCATAGGAATAAACGAGTGCTGGGATGATGTATGACAGACGAAGAAACTCTCCCCCCCACAGCCACTTTCTACTAAGTAATATGTATACATAATGATTAAATATTAATGTTTTCTAGAAGGCCAGCCACCCAAAGCGCGTCCCTAGAACAACCAACCCATGATTAACTGCGCTACCTCTGTGGGCGACGAGTCCTTTACTCCTTGTGGGGGCACTGCCCTCCGGCCACACCCATCAGTGCCTCCACATCCTCCCACGCCCACACTTGCTGATGAAGGCATGGCATCATCGCTACTGCCGACTGGTGATGGAAAGTGTCGGCAGTATAGGGTGGTTGTGTTGGTATTGACGGTTCTTGAAGTAGATGTAGTGGTGGCGGCGGTGTTGGCAGCGGCAGAGGTGGTGGTTGTCGTGGTAGATGGAGATTGTAGCGCTTTAAGAGCCAGATAGTTTAAAGGCAATACAAGATTTTAGCAGAGATAGTACGGTGACTCGTTTATATCATAATGGGTTTTAGCAGTTCTCTTAACAAGATAAAACTGGAAAGCAGAAAAAACTGTTCGTTTCAAATTTGTTTACAATATTTAGTGGGCGCATTCACTTCACTTTGAGGTCATCATTGTGACGAACTCTGTAGGCAAGAAAAAATGAACAAGAATTAGTACAATTCCAAGAATTATGGGCTTGGGAATAAGGGCAAATCTTAAAGATTAAGGTATGTGGAACAGTTGGCTATCTATTGGCAAGACATTTTGCCTACACAGATTTCTTCAAATACGAAGGGAACAGTAGTAATGACAAGGATAATGCAATCAGTCCATTCTTGGAGAAAGTATTTGTGGTGGTTAGTCCCTCTGCCTAGAACGATATTGCTCCAGACCACAGAGCTGAACTCTTCTCCAGGCTGAGGGACTGACCACCTCAAATACTTTCTCAAAGTCTGATTACATTATTTCATTACTACTGCTCCCTCTTCACTGACTGAAAAAGCCTACTTGTACATGCAACATTTCATCAATAAAGATGCCCGGCTGTTCCACATGTCAATCTTCAACTTGTCGATATTTTATACCATTCTCAAAGCAAATCTGATCCGTGAGGGAGAGATCAGTAATACCAATAAATTCTTTGACAAGTCTTCACTTGGGGGGAAAAATGCATATTTCATTTTTGCACAAATTGGTAACTTATATTCTGTTAATTTATATAATTCCCAAGTCATTAAAATATACAAGACATGGAAGTGTCAAAAATTAAGACAGTAACCACTAAAAGCAAAGTATGCAACAATCAGCAGTAATCTATACTAAATTGTCAACCAAACTTGCAGGTCTGATACCAGATTTACACGCCTGACAAACGTTGAAAAAAATCCGAGCTCTATCAGAGACCAATGTACAAGATAATTTAGAGTAGCTACACTTGCATAATGTAACCACCATTTTAACTTATTGTAAAGTCGAATCTAAAAATCCCATTACTGCTAAATTTTAAGAGCCTAGATTTTGAAAGATACAACCAGACTAAATAACCAAAAAAAGGCACAATACCGTGACTGGAACGATACACAAATAACCTGCACATAGCAGAGAGGAGCTTACGACGATGTTTCGGTCGTGACTTTGTAAATGGTCCAAGTCGGACTGAAACATGGTTGTAAGCTCCTCTCTTCTATGTGCGGGTTATTTGTGTATACAACCAGACTAATAATGGTTCATGGAATCCTCCAAGCTATCTTGCAACTGATAATGGCATGGCTGAAAGATTATGCAACTAAATAAGCAGTTTTATTTTGCTACATACAGCTTATGTTACCCAGAGAAAAACTATTACCCTATTCCAACAAGCTGGTTGTAATCTTTTAGATTTTACTCTTTTCAAATCTCCAGAATTTAACATTACAAACAGGTATACTGGTTTCAGGCACATCTCACTACATACTGTTGCCTTGTTATTGAATGCAGTTTGCTGCCTGACTTTTGCTTTTCTAACTAGACTCTCGATATATTAGTGAATAAAAGACTGGACCAATGAAATTTATTGGTCTTGCTCAGTTTTTGGGCCCAAGCATCTCCATGGATTTTTTTTTCTTTTTTTTTTTTTTAACAGCATAGTCTTCACTATGCACTTTGAAGTCTCACATGTGACCAGGTCTTCCTGCCACACTAAGGAAAGTTAGCTCTAGTACTGTTTTAACCCTTAAACGGTCCAAAGAGACGTTCAAATTCGTAGTGCAACAAAAGTAATTACTTTTTTTATCGTAAAAGGTTCTTAAATGGAGATATCGTAGGTTGAAAGTAGACACTTGTAGGATGGTAAATGTATTGTCAGACTGAGATGAGGGATGGAGCCCCAGCTGCCTTGCCTGTCTACGCCTGGATGGTCTGCCACCGAGTGAGGCCGGGACAGAGGAATGGGCCTCCTCGTGTGCATCCCATGACGTCACACAAAGCCACAGGCCTACGAGGGGTCTAGTGTCTAAAGCACATGGATGATGCTACTGCTATGCTATATAATACTGGGAATACAGGGATCAGCAACTATGCTGACATTTTTACATATTTTCAAATATAAAAAAAAATGTAAATAAGTTTTTTTTTTACACGTTTTCAAATGCAAAACAAGAAAAAAGATCTACATTTTTTTTTTACAAACTCTCAGATGTTGAAAAAATGTATATACACATTTGGACCATTTAAGGGTTAATACAGTACACTGAGCTATGATATATTTTTCTTAATTTCATGCCAAAACATACAGCAACTTGTTTTGCTACAGACAGGCTATACACAGTAGGTTTCCAGTGTAGCCTGGCACTAAAATAACATTTTCTCCGTTCGTTAGTCACGTCTCCAGGCCCCTCATATTATGTGTTTGCTATTTTGAATTTATATTCAAAAAAAAATTAGAAGATTTACTGTTATTCAGACTACTGCATAATTGTATAAATATCAGTGCATTTGTGAATGCACCGTTCCATCAGCTGATGTGTGATGCATTTTGTTTACTCTTGAAATAAAAAAAAAATTAACATTTTTACTACTTTGAGTTCACTTTCTAGCTAATTTTAGTCTGTAAACCATTCAAAATCATCTATTTCTGTAATGTATCTCCCATTGTATCAAACGAGACCAAGAAAACTAGAATACAACCAGAAATACTGTACAAAAATACAACTGTCATTTTCAACCAAAAACCGACAGTTTCTTATTATGCACTGTGGAGGATTTTTTTTTGTACTGCGCACATTGACCACTCGGACCCATTTTCTCACATGTAGGCCTACTAGGTTTCTCCTGAAAGATTGTTTTAGCATTACACTACCAACACTGGCTTCAAAGCCATAATATGGGACTGACAATGAAAGGGTTAACAGAATCCTTCCACCATAAGCCATGCGAGTCTTAAGAGGCAGCTAAAATACCTGAAGCTAAAGGGCTAGTAACCCCTTCAAATTTCTGAAGGCAAAATCAAACTTCTCTCTTTTGGGTCACCCTGCCTTGGTGGGAGATGGCAGATGTTAAATTTTTATTAAAACTACTGGGCTTAGTGTTGGAAAGTTCTGGAATCTGGCTAGCAGAAGCTGACAAGGTACACTAGTACCCAGGGAAGTGGGAGGTACCCAGTACTCGCCCCTCACCACCCCTGAAATTAAGTGCCAACTGACTATTTAAATACTTTTCTTCTGAAATGATAGAGAATCTTCGAGAATAACTAACTTCAAAATTTTAAACTAAGGAATTAAGCATGCACAAAATTGGTCGTCTGAGCAGAATTTATGCCATAAGTTTCAAGTCCTATTTTAAGCAAATTCCTAGCCACTTCACCAGTATGCTGTGTATAGACTGAGAAACTGCCCATTCAACTATTACAACTACCCTATAAAGTGCAGAGAATTTTTAAATTTGGGCAATTTTACAGAATTCAACAAAATTTCAATTTAAAACCAGGTCCCAGTAAACAAAGGCATTAAGCTACAAAACCAAACTATCCTCTACTCAAGCTTATCACCAGGCCTCTCCTGTCCAATACTTTCCACCGTTTTGAATCCATAAAACAGACAAGGGGATGAAGGATGGGGGGTAATAGAAGGGGGCCCAACCCTTGTACAAGAAAATCTCCAAAAATACTTGTGCTACTCTAGCCTTACTTAGGTTGGTTTGAAACCAACCTAAATCTTTCACCGATCTCTTCCAATTTATCAAATGATACGAAGAACTTGGCAATAAAGCCATTACCAAAGAAAACGTCAAATTCCTAGTTTTAACCGAACAAGGTCAAAGATCTGCTCGACCTATCATGCACTGTGGCAGTTTTTTTTTTTTTCTGTGGACATCACTTAGACCCACTCTCTCCTATCTTCAAAATTTATTGTTCGCAGCTCATTCAAGGGTGCTGTGCTTAAAATGGATTTACACGAGTAACACTGGCATCCAACCTTAATCTACACAAGAGCGAAAGGCTTAAGGAACCAAGACTTCTTAGATCACTCACAGAACTAGTAAGGTAGATAAACACAGATTAAAAGAACACTCAAAGTAGAGGGAATAGGTGTATTGAAGAATGCATAGAAACCCAAGCACCACAGGATAATGAATTACCAAGAAAAATGAAGGAATCTGGGACAGTAAATTACACAAGACTCCCAATTAGCAAACATAACCAATATGGTGACTAACGGGTAAACAAAAAACTAAGGTTAGAAAGGCGAGCCACGGGCGAAGGGAGTACAGGGCGATGAGGTGTTACTTTGAGGTCATCATTCTCACAAACTCTGCAAAAGAAAAAGCCAAAGGCTACTCTGGGTGGGAGTCATGCAACAGGTTAATTTAACTGAGCATCATGTTATATTTAACTGAATTCTCAAAATATGCTGCTAGTGACATCTGAGCAGTCAAATTTATATTTAATATTCAACAAGCATCATTTTTCACTATTTAATAAGATTTACAGCTCTGATATCCATGATCTGTCACCCTAAACATACTGCACTTACATTTTGCCACAAATGTCTGAATGGTCTAAATGCAAGTTATGTAGGTCACATTAAAACAATTTGAGGCAAACAGTATACACTAAGTTTAAGATGAGGTTGGCATTACGGTATCACTAATACTAATTTAAAACATTGCAAGGATGCAGGTTAGCACAAAAATATGATTTTAATGAAAAGAAATAAGGGATGCAGGCTATTTTGCCAACTACATAAATGGGCTTAAACATGCTCAAGCCGTGGGTTGCAAATCTTTAGTAATACATCCAGGAAACTGCCTAAGAATGCACTTAACCTGCTCAACATCATTAAACCATTGTTTGAAAAATAATGGTTTAAAGTTGTAGCCGTTAACGTCTTCCATTTGTGAAACAGGACACCCTACATAAAATCTAATTTTGTCCTGTACATGTCAAGCTTTATTAAAACACATTCCCACATTAGCATACCTGCCAATTTAAGGATCAGTGCCCCTTACCTTCATAACTGTATTGCTATAACCCCATACACATTTAACTTGCAACTTCCCTATCACTATTAAAATAGTATACGATTTGAAGTGTAAACACTAGATTCAAGTCTTGTATCTAGTGTGGCTATATCACTAATTGACTAATTGTGGAACTAGTCAATTTGTTACTCGTGTTGAAAATGAAGATGGTTTGACAATTACAGGACAGCTGACCATTGGTGCAAAATCATCTGCAGGTACTCACCTTCGTAGTTAACTTGACCGTCACCATCAATATCAGCTTCCCTGATCATCTCGTCTACTTCTTCATCAGTCAGTTTTTCCCCAAGATTAGTCATCACATGCCTAGTCAGGGAAAAAGTTATTTACTGTTAAATTGAATTAGTGTTTCTTGCCTACATTTCTTTTTTGTATTAAATAGCAATATCACTACCAAAGATTGTGATCAGTATCTTTAAAGTATCAATGAGATTTCCTAACCTAAGCTCAGCCGCCGAAATAAAGCCGTTACCATCCTTATCGAACACCCTGAATGCTTCTCTGATTTCTTCTTCAGAGTCAGTGTCCTTCATCTTGCGCGCCATCATCGTCAAGAACTCTGGGAAATCTATTGTTCCATTGCCTGCAAGAAAATTATTCTGGTTACTTTGGAACTGGTTACTGAAAAATGCAATAGTGCATACACTAAGACTGACAAAACAGACAACTTACAATTATGAATTAAAGCACAAGTCAACAGTTTTAAAATAATGCACTAAAATTCTGAAGTGTAATTTATACCTTTCACTCTGGATACGGAATACAATGTCTTACGGAACTCAACTCAGGACAGTGCCTGGGAATTGGAGGAAATCAGATTTTATCCAAGGCAGGGGAGGACAAATCCAATTCCTTAGCTCAAAGGTCCGTTAACAGTATCAAAGAACCTCCCTTCACCGGGTCACCAACTGGACAACACCTGGGCCAGAACTTCCAACAAATTGAACTCAAACTTCCCTTGAAGGGAGGGTTGAACAGGAAAATGCCAGGAATTACAATATGATCTTCTATAATACCAACCTTTAACAGTAGCAATATTATGATCTATAATACCAACCTTCAACAGTAGCAATATTACGATCTATAATACCAACCTTCAACAGTAGCAATATTATGATCTACTATAATACCAACCTTCAGGAGTAGCAATATTACCCCGAGTTATGACTCAGCATTTTCTGAAATGCTGAAGACTTAATAGTAATACTACCTCAGCATTCTTTTTAGGGACCTATTACCCATTTTAGTCATAGGTAACCACAAACCCTGTAGGAGTTACACAACACCTAGGTGGTGTAGAATCCCTTTCAGGAGAGAAGGGGGAATGCATCAATGTAGGTCTCAATTGCATGCACTGTAGATGCTGTATAACACTTCTCCATCAATAAATAAGATAAATGGACTGCAGCCAAGGTTGGGGGGGGGGGGGATAAATCCCTTCCGCTAGCCCCTCACTAGCAACAAGGCGCAACAAGGCACAACAAAGGTAATATTTGCAAGCTAAAATCATATCTCTATCCAATTCAGAAGGAAGCACTAAACCCTGGGCAGGCAGTGCAAAATACCCCCAATGAAAAGTAGGAGTGCCATTGGTACACTAAGAAAAGTGTTTGGGGCCCAAGATTTCAATAACCTCCCACCAGACAAAAGGGGGATTACCAATAGACCTCTGGCTGCCTTCAAGAGGGAGCTGGACAGAAATACATTGGTGCCAAATCAGTAGGGATGTAGTTCTTATGAACTACGTGCAGTCAGCAGTAACAGCCTGGTTGATCAGGCCCTGATCCATCTGGAGGCCTGGTTATGGATGAGGCCATGGGGCGTTGATTCCTGGAATACCCTCCAGGTAGGTAAACCCACAGGGAAGGGAGGGGTCATGCCATGCCTGTGGAATGGGAGGCATCAGGTCTGATCCAAGGAAAGAGGGCAACCCCAATTCCTAGGATCAAGAGCCACTCGCCAGCATCAATGGAAACAAAGGATCCAATGGAAGCAAGGCACTGACTTTCTTGGGTTATCCTGGGTAATTTATACTATGATTGTACTTGTGTACCTATGTAAGTAAACTTATGCTGAAAGCTCAGCATTAGAAATGTCCAGGTAATCATTTTTAATTATTGTTATTATTATTACAATCAAGGGGGAAGCGCTAAACCCGGAGGATTATACAGCGCCTGGGGGGGGGGGGGGATGTGGAAGGCATTCAGGCTTAATTTGGGGAACTGGAGCACAGATCCAATTCCCTAAATCAAGAGCCCCTCACCAACATCAAGGAACCTTCCTTGAGGGGAATCATTTTTAAAAACTTTCAATAATGTTACTCTGTCACAGCCTTAATCATGCTTGATGAGCAAACTTGGGAAGTAGTCAAGAGAAGCAAACATTTCCCGGGAGCAGAAGCCAGTTATTTTTATTTAAGTGAACAGCAGCATGTTTCAACACTAGGATACAGAGAAGCTGACTTTGCTTGACAGTTCACTATTATACCACCCTTCCTCTGGCTGCCTCCAGAGGGTAGGGGGGGAGGGGACATCTTCCGCTTCAACTGCTTTCCACTAGGTTAGGAGCTAGGCCGGGCTACGAGAGTAGAAAGACTAAACTTTTAAGTACATCAAAGGTTACCAGCACTGGTCTTGGGTTACATTTTATGTCCATAAAATATGGACAAGTTCTTAGCCTCTATACACAGACAGGTGTAGCCTATTTTCCGGGGCAGCACATTGTACAGCAGCTTCACTCAGATGCCATTTATATATTCCCCTGCACAAAAAAAGTGACCCTAACAAACTCGGGGGGGAAAACACAAGGTTAAGCAAACCTTTACAAAATAAATGACATGTTAGACAGTATGTTCTATATGCATTTAATTACTATTGTATTTTTATAAGAATATACTGCAGGATACTTGCTGGTCAGTCGGGAGGGGACTGGAGGGTGAAAAACAAAAGCCAATTCACACTGATTACAGCCGTGACTGTCTAGGCTTCTTTTAATCAGCCTAGCCCGGCCTGGTCAGTCACGTTGTGCTGACGGCAGCAAGCAGATCTACCAGGCTAACACTTACACTGTACCTTTGCTCCAGCATAGTCCATTAGACATGCTGCTTTGGAGGTATTCCCAGTACCTGATAAATTCTGAGCACAATGCTATATACCTGGAGGAGGGTTTGGGGGGGGGGGGTCAACGCCTATGAGAGATGTGCAGCGAGTCTCCTGTGGGAGGGTGGAGGAAAATAAAGGGGGTCTAAACCTTAAAACCACGCAGTAGGCAAGTGTGCGCTAAATCAATAGGGAGGTAATTGTGATACCACTGCAAGGATTCAGGGAAAACCAGTTACCGGAGTGAAGGTGTGAATATCCATTCAACCAGGATTCGTGTGTTCTGCGGTAAAGGTAGTTGGAAATAAGGGAAGGGGACCTCCATTATCAACATCCGGGGTCCCAGACTATTCAACCTCTTACCAGATGTCAGAAACACGGCTGGAACAAGTGTAGAGGCCTTCAAGAGGAAACTGGACAAGTATCTTCAAGTGCCAGAACAACCAGGTTGTGATGGATGTGGGGCAGCGGGTCCCCAGCAGCAACAGCCTGGTTGATAAGGCAAGCACCGGACGAGCCTGGCCCATGGCCGAGATCAGAGTAGTTAAAACTCTCGAAAGTCTTCAAAGGTGTATCAAGGTAAAGGTTTCTTTCCTACCATGCCTTGCAACATGGATATATTTGAGGAAACGTTTCGCCACACAGTGGCTTCATCAGTCCAATACACCAGTCCAATACACATCAGAAAGGTGTAAGGAGAGGAGTTTGAAGTAATCAGTCCCTCAGCATGGAGTCAATGTGTTCAGTCCATCAACTTGGACTTTAAAAAAACATTTACCATGCCTTGCTGGGAACGCCAGTGTTAATTACCAATCACTGAAAATACTGTACCATAATTTATCTGCATAATTTTAACAGGAGTATTAACATTATGTCTTGGGTGTATGCTTCAATTTAAACTTTTATACTGTGCTGGCAATAGGTGGAGGACAAAGGGCAAAGATCAAAGATGGTGAGCAGTAGTGAAAGTGACCGCCCGCGCTGGTGAATGATGAGGTGGCAAGTAGTGGCCAAGATCGAAGAGTGGGTGGAGGGGGCGGATATACTGGGAGGATTCTGAGGGATGCGGGTGGAGTGGGGAGAGGGTGGAGACGAAGGAAGAATCGAGTGTCTTAAAATTGTATAGACCAGCACTGTTGCCACCCTACTGTACACAATAGTTCGGAGGGAATCAAATCAGCCAAGTTTCCTGTCATATTCCCTAGTACAGGGTGATGGAGGAGGGAAAAAGTGCAAGTTGAGGAGGTGAAGGTGGGCGTGGTGTGGCGGCTGGCAGCCAGTCTGGCAACACGAGGTGCCCCCAGGCAGCAAGGGCACTGTCACCTGCCCAGGGACACTGCGGACGTTGCTTCAACCACGCTCTTGACTACACCTATCAACGTCCTGGTCGTGTTAAATGTATCCATTTTACACTAGTTTTCCAACCAGGACGGGAGAGCAATGTTGGTAGTAACAAGTCTCCCCCCCACCCCCCAAAGAGAACCTCAACATCCCTACCCATCCCAGGCACTATTATATACCTTTGCTATATTCACTTTCCATTTTAAGACTATTACAACACCTAAATAAATTTGTCAACTCCACTGTACATAAGTTTAAATATTCACCTCAGCTACATCTGACCGTTACGGATCTGCTATAAACCATATTAGCGGCCTCACATTATCCAGTGTCAACTTAAGTTTCCTACGTACGACCTTTTAAGCAAAGTTAAGCAAAAATTCTGGCAGTCTACAACCTCATGCAATATTAAGATTAGCACGTTTTCCATAATTTTTACTGTCTCAAGGGGTCAATTCATGTCTTAGTCCCCCCCCCCCACTCTTCCCTCTTATTTCTGGCCTCCAAGACCCGATCATATCTAACAAGCTGTGTATATAAGTTACCTTGACCTCTGTATTCCACTTTCCATCTTATGAAAAAACCATTTCCTAGAAGTCCCTATCGCTCATCTTACCTGCCAGTAATGTTTCCTGTATCTCCCCCCCCCCTCAAACACCTGATAAGCTAGAAATTTTACGGTCGTGATCCCTGAATACATGACAAGCTGCTGACCACTGCCACCTTAAGACCAGAGCGAACAAACCTTCTCAGGTTGGCAGCCAACAATTACGGTGCCAAGTAGAGCACAGGCTCTCGCCAGCATCTTAATTCCTCTCCCACGTTTACAGACGTGTCACCAGACTGATACATCATGAAGCTTCTCTTTTCATTAGACCGTTCTTGCATTTACCTGTGCATGCTAATCAAGTTATGATTAAGCTAATGAGCTATACAGACTAAAGTTACAATTTATGGATGTTTTAGATTTATTTTCTACTAACTCAAATAGCTTTCTGAACCTAGGGCGTTATTCTCAAATCTAGCACCTCCCACCCAGGAACGGGTTTCGATTATTAGGTTTAAAGCTTACTAACTACAAGAGGGTTACATTAAGAACAATCGTCTGTGATCAGAAAATTTAATTACCAAAACAAGGCTCGAG